GGGCCGGATGCCATGATCTTAGTTTTTTTGATGTTGAGCTTCAAGCCCACTTTTGCGCTCTCCTCTTTTACTCTGAGCAAGAGGCTCTTTAGATCCTTTTCACTTTCAGCCATTAGAGTGGTATCATCTGCATATCTGAGGTTGTTGATCTTTTCCCCAGCAATCTTAATTCCCGCTTGTGATTCATCCAGGCCAGCATTTCGCATGATGTACTCTGCATATATATTAAATAAGCAAGGTGACAGTATACATCCTTGTCGTACTCCTTTTCCTATGCTGAACCAATCAGTTGTTCCGTATCCGGTTCTAACTGTCGCTTCTTGGCCCTTATACAGGTTTCTCAAGAGACATGTGAGGTGGTCTGGTACTCCCATCTCTTTAAGGACCTGCCATAGTTTGTTGTGATCCACACAGTCAAAGGCTTTAGCATAGTCAATGAAGCAGAAGTAGATATTTTTCTGGTACTCTCTTGCTTTCTCCATAATCCAGCGAATGTTGGCAATATGATCTCTCGTTCCTCTACCTCTTCGAAACCCAGCTTGTACTTCTGGTAGTTCTCTATCCACGTACTGTTGAAGCCTAGCTTGTAGGATCTTGAGCATGACCTTGCTAGCGTGTGATATGAGTGCAATTGTGCGATAGTTTGAACATTCCTTGGCATTGCCCTTCTTTGGGATTGGAATGTATACTGATCTTTTCCAATCCTGTGGCCACTGTTGCGTTTTCCAAATTTGCTGGCAAATGGAGTGCAGAACTTTAACAGCATCCTCTTCTAAGACTTTGAATAGCTCAGCTGGGATACCATCACCTCCACTAGCTTTGTTGTTAGTAATGCTTTCTAAGGCCCATTTAACTTCACATTCCAGGATGTCTGGCTCGAGGTCAGTGATTATACCGTCGTGGTTGTCAAGGACATCGAGGTCTTTCTTGTATAGTTCTTCTGTGTATTCTTGCCATCTTTTCCTAATCTCTTCTGCTTCTGTTAGGTCCCTACCGTTTTTGTCCTTTATCATGGCCAGCTTTGCATGGAACGCTCCCTTGATTTCTCCAATTTTCTTGAAGAGATCTCTAGTCCTTCCCATTCTATTGTTTTCTTCTATTACTTTGCACTGTTCATTCAGGAAGGCCTCCTTATCTCTCCTTGCTGTTCTCTGGAAATCTGCGTTCAGTTGGGTAAATCTTTCCTTTTCGCCTTTGCCTTTCGCTTTCCTTCTTTCCTCTGCTATTTGTAAAGCCTCATCAGAAAGCCATTTTGCTTTCTTGCATTTCTTTTTCTTTGGTATGGTGGTGATTGCTGCCTCCTGTACAATGTCACGAACCTCCGTCCATAGTTCTTCAGGCACTCTATCTATCAAATCCAGACCCTTGAATCTATTCTTCACCTCTACTGTATATTCATCAGGGATGCGATCTAGGTCAAACCTGAATGGCCTCGTGGTTTTCCCAATTTTCTTCAGTTTAAGTCTGAATTTTGCAATGAGTAGCTCATGATCTGAACCACAGTCAGCTCCAGGTCTTGTTTTTACTGACTGGATAGAGCTTCTCCATCTTTGACTGCAAATTATATAGTCAATCTGATTTCGGTGTTGCCCATCTGGTGATGTCCATGTGTAGAGTCGTCTCTTAGGTTGTTGGAAAAGGGTGTTCGCTATGACCAGTGTGTTCTCTTGACAAAACTCTGTTAACCTTTGCCCTGCTTCATTTTGCTTTCCAAGGCCAAACTTGTCTGTTATTCCGGTTACCTTTTGACTTCCTACTTTAGCATTCCAGTCCCCTATGATGATGAGGACATCATTTTTTGGTGTTAGTTCTAGGAGGTGTTGTAGGTCTTCATAGAACCGGTCCACTTCAGCCTCTTCTGCATCAGTGGTTGGGGCATAGCCTTGGATTACTGTGATGTTGAATGGTTTGCCTTGGAATCGGACCGAAATCAATTTTGTCATTTTTGAGATTGTATCCCAATACTGACTTTTGCACTCTCTTGTTGACTATAAAGGCCACACCATTTTTTCTACGAGATTCCTGGCCACAGTAGTAGATATAATGGTCTTCTGAGTTAAATTCGCCCATTCCTGTCCACTTTAGTTCACTGATTCCTAGGATATCGATGTTCAGTCTTGCCATCTCTTTGACCACGTCAAGCTTACCTTGATTCATAGATCTTACATTCCAGGTTCCTATGTAGTATTGTTCTTTGCAGCATCGAACTTTCCTTTCACCATCAGACACATCCACAACTGAGCATCCTTTCGGCTTTGGCCCAGCCACTTCACTCTTTCTGGGGTTACTTGTACTTGCCCTTTGCTCTTCCTCAGTAGCATATTGGACACCTTCCGACCTGAGGGGCTCATCTTCCGGCGTCATATCTTTTAGCCTTTTGTTACTGTCCATAGGGTTTTCTTGGCAAAGATACTGGAGTGGGTTGCCATTTCCTTCTCCAGTGGATCACACTTGGTCTGAGTTCTCTGCTGTGGCCTGTCCGTCTTGGGTGGCCCTTCACGGCATAGCCCACAGCTTCATTGAACTGCTCAAGCTCCCTCGCCATGACAAGGGAGGGGGATGAGGGGGATGACATCACCAAATGGGCAACACCGAACATGACATCCATGAGGGGGATGACAACATGTACCCGGAATTAATTCTTCTCAATCTGTGGGGAAATTGCAAAATCTCCAAAGCAAAACAAAAACTAATTATGATAATGTTAATTATTGCTAAATGTCTTGTTTCATGATATTGGAAGTCTACATCAATTCTATCACTGCAAGAACGGGACTTGAAGTTATGGGACTTATTTATCCTGGATAAGATTGCATACAATTTGGATAATTTTAGAGATACCTCAGGTCAATCCAGTCTCCTAGATAAATGGCAACCTCTGATGCTCAAGTGTTGGTCTGATCTCTCAAGTGATTGCTATGTTTTAAGTAAAAGCCAACTCTCTCTTCACTGCTCACGCTGAATGGATAGTATCTATTCCTTAGTCTAACACACTGTTCCACTGCTGGTGTAAATCTGTGTTCAATAAACTTCTCAGCCCTGCACTTGTATTTCTAGTTTACTCTGTTTAGTTATTCATACTTAATTTTACTGATGGTTTGTAACCTTATTATATTGTTCAGTATTTCAATTCTGTATACTTTGATTATACTTGGTTCTTTTGAAAGACTGTAATATTATATGATTAACTAAAATATTTTAAAAAACATGTACAGGGGATCTGTTTGAAGTCAGTTCTGCCCCCATCAGAGCCTCTGGAGTGTCTCTGGGAAAAGCTAAAATTCTCTTTTAAAATATATTTTGGGTGGATTCCTGTTTTCTGTCCAAAGTTGTGGGCCAGCCTTACTCTGATATAATTGCAGAGCTGGGTCTATCAGGAAACCTGTCATTATGTAAAATTTCAAAATAGCACCTGTGGTTCTTACAATTGTAGATCTGGTGATCACCAAATGAGCCCACCAAGACAGGTTTCACTAAGGGTTTCCCAAGATATCTAAAGGTGCTACATTGATCTATTGGGGTACCACCTATGGTCCACTTAAATTGATGAGGCCTTTTTCTAAAGACCATTACTTTGGTCTTAGAATAGTTAATATTAAGGCCTCTGCAGATGTTGCCTGGCTTATGTAGTATCCGTTTGAGGCCAATGCATATGAGAGACATTAGAATAATATTGTCCACATATAGAAAAATTGATATTTTACTGGAACCCAAAGAAGGTGGAAGAAACTCAAGGCCTAATAACCTCAGAATGATGTCATTTACATATAAATTGAAAAACAGTGGGGCCCAAACAGACCCCATTTTACCCTTCTGCTAATTGGGATCTCCTCAGTTAGTGAGCCAGAGGTGCCTGTCTTTTGTAGCAAAAATGCTGGTGTGGAGTTCCTGTAACATAAACAGTAGGCCCTTGTTGATGTTTGTGCCTGCCAGTTTTGGCCAAAGCCATTTGCTGTCAATTAAATAAAAGGCTGCTGCTAGAGCTACAAAAGTTGTATATAAAGATTTGATGGAACCCTTGGCGAAGAGGGCTAGTTGGTAAAGAGTTAGGCAGTGATTGGTTGTGCTTTGCTCTTTTCTAAAGCCTGCTTGCTCAGGGTGGATAGCATGGTTAGGAACCTCCTAATCCTCCAGTTTACGTAGAAGATATCTGCTATATAGTCTGGAGGCTATATCCAGCAAACTTATTGGATGATAGTTATGAAGGGCTGATTTACTTCCCTTTTTAAATACTGGAACTGCAATATTCATGTGAGTAAATACTGGAACTACAATATGCAATATTCATGTGAGTAAACAGTTTGGCTAAAATGAGATCCCCCCCAATCAGGGAAAAATTTTAAACATCTCAGGAGGGGTCAGATCTACTCCTTGACATATGAATATATAAAAATGAATCCACCTGCTATGGGTGGCTTGGCCCTTAGATTCTCATTGGGTTTTCTCTGTTAGTAGAGCGGACCCTACCCACTCCACTGAGCAGAGCTCAAAGCCTTCCGCCAATGTGCCCTGACCTGGATAGCCCAGGCAAACCCAGGCTCGTCAGATCTTAGAAGCTAACCAGGTCCGACCCTGGCAAGTATTTGGATGGGAGACCTCCAAAGAATACCAAGGCCAGAAGGGAGAGGCAGGCTATCAAGCCACTTCTCTGAACGTTCTCCATGCTCCAGTAGGAGTCACCAGAGGTCACCATGACTTCCAGGCACACGCACACACACACATGCAAAAAAATTTTTAAAAGCCTTCCTCCAATTTAAGTGGCCCTTTCTTCCACTAAATTGAAGGAAGACTCTTTAGGTTAGATTCCTGCCTCTGCTTTGATTGTCTAAGATAGCAATTCTGCTATAGGGTGGGAGTACTATTACAGTCTCTGTTCTTAGACACATACATCAATTCTCTGTCGCCTTCTCCCCCCCTACTTGTTTTCATATCCTATATTATTAAACTTCTAAAATTCCCTGAATCTTTAAGGCAAACAAATTATCTTCCCTTTTTTCTAGGATGTGTTTAGTACGAATGAAGCAAGAGGGTCGAGCGGGAAAATACATGTGTCGCTATATAGTTCATTCTATGTGGGAAGACGTTGAGCAACGTGGCAAGGTGATGGGGGTAAGTAATCTTTGTCTGGCAGAGACTCAGTTGTCACCCTTTAACCATCTATTATGGCTGTGTCATAAAACCAGCACTTCAGGATTCAGATGGAGCAAACCATTGTCTCAGTAGTCCACTTAAGATGTCTCTGTTTTGTATACCCAGAACGATTATGAGTAGGATGACAGTGGACAAATGGTGTTCAGGTTGGTCTGTCCCTTTAAACAAGTACAGCTAACTATCATTTTTATCTTGGGCCAGATTCAAAGCTGTCTCTTCATTGTGAAGTAATTGCACCATAGTAACTTGTTAGTTTGGAATTCTCATATTCCATTAATGTAGTTGTGTCAGAGCAGCAGGCAAGTAACTCCACAGCTACTGATGAATGGGATGATTGGTATCTAGTCAAAACAAGGTATCAGCACCAGGTGTTGTAGTCACAATACTGCAAGCAGAACTCTGTGCTTTAGAACTTTTCTGTCTCCATCTCTGGCCCCCCCCCCCCCCCCCCCCGGATTTCAGGGGAGCTGCAGGAAAAGTTCTGGCCGTGATATGGGGCCTGCAGTGGGAAGATGGAATTGGCAATCCCTTTCCCCAGACAATGTGCCCTTCTGCTCTGGAAAACAAGCACTGGATCCAACCCCAAATTTAGCCAGTGATTTCTTGTTGCTCACCAAATGGCTTAATATGGAGGTCTAATGATGTTATGGTACTGTGATTCTTTGCAAATTTCAACCTTTGATAATCCGAGATGGGTTAAATTGTATTCTGGCCATTCACAAGACAGGGTTTGAGTTGCTTTTACTCCAAAGGATCTTGTAGAAAGGTATCAAGCCTTCCCCCAAGCACCCTTAGTTCCACATCTGTCTCTTTTCCTCAGGTAATCCTTTTGGCTGAAAGAGAAACCAGTTGTGTAGCTTTGCTTTCTGAAACATGAGGCTCCTCAGACTAAGGAGATACGATTTTGCATTCTCTGAAATCTGTGGCTTCCAATAAGAGGCCTTCCTCCCTCTGTTTTATTCAGTACTAATTACTCAAATGCAGCTGTCTTTTCCATATCTTTATCCTTCATACTTATTCCACCCTTCAGCGTCATATAATCAGGGATTCTAAGAGCCGCCATCTGCCCCCAATCCAAACCACATATCATAACAAAGCAAATCATTTGGCTGGCTGTTAACCATGCATCTCTAATAATAATAATAATAATAATAATAATAATAATAATAAAGAGGATCCACACGTCCATCTGTCTGTCCATTTGTGGCAAGCATAACTCAGAAAATAAAATGAGGAATCTCAAAATTGGCAACCAGTGTAGTTGGAAGGGTGCAGATCAGTAGTAGGTATTGTCCTGACCTGGATGGCCCAGGCTAGGCCATTCTCATCAGATCTTCAAAGCTAAGCAGTGTTGGCCCTGGTTAGAACTGGCATGGGAGACTGCCAAGGGAGTCCAGGCTTGCTATGCAGAGGCAGGTAATGACAAACCACCTCTGAATATTTCTTGCCTTGAAAACCCTACAGGGTCGCCGTAAGTTGGCTGTGACTTGATGGCACTTTCCACCACCACCAAGTTGCCAACCAGGATGGATGAGAAGGAGTTAAGACTGAAAAATAAGGGGAGGGGGAATTAGAAGTGGGGATAGACTACTGGCGGATCATGAAAGGAAGAGAGCAAAACAAAGGAGGAGAAAAGTGTGGAAAGGGTTAGGGAGATGTAGGAAAAGGCAATTAAAGGTTTATTATTATTATTATTATTTTTCTACCGCACACTATCAGGGCTGCTCTTTTGCAGGATCTGGCTGTGCAGGAGCTGGGTGGAACTAAAGGGAGAGGGAAACCATAGACTGCTGGAGATAACAACCTTTTTAGGAGGTTACATCCTGGCAGTAACTGTAGCTTGTCCTCGCTGGTCTTGCCTTGCTCCAATGCTGGCTCCGCTGATGGGTTTAGCTGGATCTGAGAAACAAGACTTTCCTTCAGCCTCATAGTAAACTTTGTAGAAATGGCAAACCAGTAATCAGAGATACCGCTCTTTATCATGCCCTACCTCTCCCATGCCCCAAATGGCTGCAGTCAGAACTTCATTAGAATTTTTTTTAATGCATTCCATGAATACACCATAAGGCTGTCAGTGGACTTGGGGCCCTGGGATTTTGTCACCCTAGCCCTCCTCTCAGTGACCCTTCATATGATGTGTATCTGTTAATCTGTTAACAGTTGTCATAGAATCATTGTATTTTAGGTCTGCTTTTGGGCTCTTTTCTAATGTCTTCAGATTACCCATTGTGTACTATACAAAAAGGATGCCACCTATGAACAAACCAAATTATAGTAAGCCTTGGTCAGGTCATAGAAAGTTTCTGCTCATAAAAGAGGAGTAATTTCAGCTGCTTCCTCCTCTTTGCTGAAGCTTGCTTGTTCTTTTGGGGCTTTTAGTCTTTTCTGGTCTCCTAAGCCTGGTGTCACTATTTCTGCACTGAATGGTGTGAAACTCCCTTCCACTGACAGTGTATGGCAGAGGTGTCAAACTCATTTGTTACGAGGGCAGGATCTGACATAAATGTCACTTTGTTAGGTTGGGCCATGTGTGTCATAAAATGTAACATGAGGTACTGGAGACGTGGAGATATCAGCATTGGTAATGAGTCTGGAAACGTAGGTCTCACTTTGGTCCAGGCGGATTCAGTCTAGGAGAATGCAAAGAATAAAGGGAAATAAGTCTGAAGAAGTGAGCAGTGATTCACGAAAGCTCATACCCTACCACAAATTTTGTTAGTCTTTAAGGTGCTACTGGGCTCTTACTCTTCCTACTGTTATTAGAAACCACAACATTCAAAAACCAGTAGGGGACCATTTTAACCTTCCAGGACATTCATTTGCTGATCTAAGAGCAGCCGTTCTCTTGCAAAGGAATTTCAGAGGGAGATTAGAGAGACTGCTGAATTGCAACTGATAACGAAGCTCAAGACAAAATGCATCCTCCTGGACTGAATTGAGACCTAGGTTTCTTCTCATTAACCAATACCTGCTATTGTCATTTAGTGTCTGAAATCACTTCATTGTCCAAGATATAAGGACAGATGGACTTACATTCTAGCTGTATCTGAAGAAGTGAGGAGTGACTCATGAAAGCTTGGTGTAGTAGTTAAGTGCATGAACTCTGATCTGGGAGAACCAGGTTTGATTCACCACTCCTCCACTTGCAGCTGCTGGATGACCTTGGGCAAGGCATTGTTCTGTCAGAGCTGTTCCCTCAAGAACAGTTCTCTCAGAGCTCTCTCAGCCCCACCTACCTCACAAGGTGTCTGTTGTGGGGAGGGGAAGGGAAAGGAGTTTGTAAGCTGCTCTGAGACTGAGTGAAGGCCAGGGTATAAATCCAATTTCCTCCTCCTTCAACAACATTTTATTTCAGGTATAAGCTTTTGTGTGCATACATACTTCTTCAGAGAGAGGGAAGAAGGGAGGGGGGGAACTGCCAGAGAGACCTTTAAGACCAACAAAGTGCCACGGGACTCTCTCTCTCTCTTGCTCTCTCTGGCTCTTTCACTCCCCCTCCCTTCCTCCCCAAAGGAGAAGAAGGGGGGAGGAGCCCTCAGCCAATTCAGGGAAAGGAGGCTTGGCTTTCTTTCTCTCCCCTGGAGGCAGAAAGCTGGAGAGAGCTGGGCAAAAGCAAGCTGCAATGCAGGAAGCAGGAGTAAGCCAGTTGCTTGTGGGACAGATGGGAGCCCTGCAGGGGCCAGTTCTGACCCGCGGGCCATATGTTTGGCACTCTATGGATTCCAACGCTTGCAAACCTATGGAAGCTTCATTCTGCAAACACTTGTAGACTATACTTGTAGTGTCAGGAATGACTTGCCTCATTAGTTTTGATGAGTGCATGTGGTTGAAAACTATTTTGGTGCAATTATTTTTAATCATTAATTCTAAAGAGGGGAGTTGGATTGTTGATGAATGATGAGTGATCAAGAAATGGATTTTTTTGGTGAGGTGTGGCAGCATCTCAGATCCTGCTTGGCTTAAATGGAGTTTAATCATAGCTAGCTCTTAGCTACATCAGCATAGTGAGCTGTAATAATTTTGGAATTGTATAAAATAAGACCTTGGTGTGTCTGTTCAGGCCCATATGGAGAATTTTTCAGGATGCTTGGCATGCAGTTCCATTATTTTTCTACCTTTTTTCCTCTCCTCCTCCATCTCTGTGATCCCAAATAAGACCTTGTTCAGTTATACCAAAACTGTCACATTTGTTTACTCTGCTCCTTGGTATTTGATTCTTTATTAATCAGTTTCTTCTTTACCTGGGTGATTATTTTGCCTCTGTACATCTGTTGAGGCCTGCAGCTAGAGGAAATATCAGAGCACTTACCTGATTTCTACTTATCTGTTGAACGTCTGTCCCACTAGGGGATTGAGGACATCCATAGTTCTCCACTCTTCATTTTGCGGTACCTTTAAAACAACCCTGAATAGTAGGTTAGGTTGAGGATAAATGCTTATTCAAAGTCATCCAGTGAACTTGTTTTTGATTTAAAGTTGTATTCTTTTAAGAGCAGAATTTCCTTTAAATTCTGAAAGGCAAAAAGCTTTAAACTGCATCTGGGAATAAATGTCTGTTCTTTAACACTGATGATACTTTTCTAGGCCAAAGGGGAGACAATTTCCCATTGGATTTGCTAATCTACAGCAGAGGGACTTTTGACCTCCAAATGTTTAATTTGCAATATGTCAGTTTGACTTTTATAAGCTGTATAAATTGGCCATTTCATATCAGTGAATTGTTTAGCCATCATGGATGATTAGTTTTACGGTATAACTGACAGAAAATTCAGTTGCACCAAAAAAAAAAACAGATTTTAAAAATGTTGTTAAACTTATTTCTTTTTTAAAAAAACTACACCATTGATTGGAGTATTTTTGAAGAATAATTTTACTGGAGAATATGAAAATGATGCAATATTTAGGCAAAGCAAGTGAAATACTACAATCTGCTTGTCTGGCAATATGTAGCTGATGGG